AATAATACTGTTGAAGTGTTTCTCCCACCTTATGCCAGATGGCCAAGCTTACGGTGCCCTCTTCAGAAAACCAAGGGCATTGCTTTTGTACAAAAGAAAGTTGACAAAGTAGACTTTGAAATCTTAATTCCTCTCTTCATTAATAAATGCCTAATTATGTCAATAAATAACTGGCTTTCCTTAGATTCTCCGTTACCCATGTTCTGAAATCGCTAATAAAGGTCTCTAATAAATACCTCACTGTTCACCCGTCTCACCCTACCTATCTCATGCAGGGGGTCTGCAGCACCCTAGGTGAAGTCCTAGCTACCCTGAAAATGCACTATTAAGGGGCTTACCCTTTGGGTCCCTGTTCGTGGCACCATTTGCCGAGGTCCAGCCCCGGCAGGACCAGGAATACCCAAGGGATAAGTGGCGTCGGCGAGGAAGCAGACAGACAGACAGACACACAGAAGGCTGCGTAGAAGAGGTAGCTTTTTTTAATTTTTAGGATAGTTCAGTTTTTATAGAATGAATGTTACCTCCCCCTTAAGTCACCACGTATTACATCAGATATTGTTTCGTGCTTCCATCAATATTTTTTTCTCCATGTTTTCCCCTATGCATTCATCTGGAACTTCTCCGATTACAGAGTTTTTTCTTAAATGTCCCGTACATGGTCTTCTTGCCTCAATGGCCTGACAATTTTCACTCTAACAAAAACAATGTTCCATAGATTCCAGATATAGTATGAATTCTTTGGGTAATAAAACAATACATGGGAAGGGTCACAGTAACATGTTTGACATTTCTGAGAACAGTACCATGAGAAAACCCTGATATTTTTCTTTACCTGAAACCACAAAATCTCAATTTACAATGGTTAACTATTAAACAGCAAAAACACCTCTAAACACCAAAACACCTCTATTAATAGTGAGATAATGGCAGTGAAGCTGGTTAATATAAATCTTCTATTGAAATCCTATGTACTCCATTTCCTAACTCTACAAAAATACCCATAATTCCATGTTGTTTAAAGAAAGGGAAACAATGAACAAACAGCAGCAAGGAAATAGCAATAATGAAAACCCTCTCAACCAAGGAGCAAGTAAACTGAAGCAGTATATCTACTTCTAAATCTAAATGCCTCTACTCTTTTCTATTCTAGAACATTATAATCTTTTAAGCAAGCAGCCAAACTACACCTGTGGCCTTTTCTTTTTTTGACTTGATGTTTATGGTTGTGTCCTGAGCCAGAGCAATCATGAGCATTTCCAAAAAGACTTGGACTTTTCCAGCGAGGCCTTATTACTATATATTATATTTCCAAAAATTAATAGAAAGCCCAACAACAGTAAGACAGAAGGAAGAAAGGGACATACCGGCCCCCGGACAACTTTGAGGGGAAGAGCTGCCTTGCAGATTCATTTCTCGTCCAAGCGGCTCCCTAGGGGACATATTGGGCCCCTGGGGCAGCCCCGTGTGAGGAAGAGCTGCCTTGCAGGTTCCTCTCTCGTCCCGTGACCTTGTCACGGTTTGGGGGCAACCCGGCGGCTCCCGACACGAATCTAGACAGCATATTAAAAAGAAGAGACGTTACTTTGCCAACAAAGGTCCATCTAGTCAAAGCTATGGTTTTTCCAGTAGTCACATAAGGATGTTCGACCATGAAGGAAGCTGAGCACCGAGGAATCGATGCTTTTGAACTGTGGTTATTGGAGAAGACTCTTGAGAGACCCTTGGACTGCAAGAAGATCAAACTAGTCAATCCTAAGGGAAATCAGTACTGAATATTCATCGAAAGGACTGATGCTGAAGCTGATGCTGAAGGCCACCTGATGTGAACAACCGACTCACTGGAAAAGATTCTGATGCTGCAGAAGATTGAAGGCAGGAGGAGAAGGGGATGACAGAGGATGAGATGGATGGATGGCATCACCGACTCAATGGACATGAGTTTGAGCAAGTCTGGGAGACAGTGAAGGACAGGGAAGCCTGGCGTGCTGCAGTCCATGGGGCTGCAGAGTCGGACACAACTGAGTGACTGAACTGAACTCAACCGATGCAAACCAAATGCCATAGTCAAACAGTTTAAACTGGTGTTTACTTTAAAATAGTTTCTGCTCTGTTCTCCAGATTCACCTGACTTTACTTCTTACCTGTCAACACCATTGACCTTTTGGACAAATTCAGTTGTGGTTCTGGATTTCCAGTGAAACTTTTTATGCAAATATACAAACCCAGAATTATTCAAACTATGGAGATGATATCATTAGAGTGCCCACATAATGTGACTTTTAGGTATCTTCCACTTGGATTCAGTATCAACATGTCTGTCTAGATAAAGAAAAGCATCTTTAAACAAAGCAATCTGTATTTCACCCTGAAAGTACACTAACTAATTTGTTTGAGCACAGACATTGGATTATTCATGACTTACGTTTGCTTTCTGGAGCTAAAAAGTGTCTTCTAATTTTATTGATTCGTCTGTGACTCCCAATCTTATTTTTACTATATTACCATTTTCTTATTCTAAAACACTTGTTTATTTCTTTGTGGAGAGCAGTTCTCTTACTGTTCTTTGTAGAGAACAGTATTCAGGTATTACAGTTTCAGATTTGTTCCAGGTGGTTTCTGTTCTTTTGTTCACACAAGGCCAAACATTTCGGAGAGTTTTCAAAGAAGAGATTGGAGTTCACTGAAAAGCAGCATTTTCTGCAATAAAACTCAGCACATATTAAAGGTGTGAAGAAAAAGTTATTAAGGGAAAACTAAACTCAGGTCATGGGAACAATGAGAAATTCACAAGTACACATGGAGAAAACAACATAATTACTTATTTGCTGGGCTTTCTTTTTTCTTAGGTTTTTCTGGTCTCAAAAATTACCAGAAATGTATGTGGATCCAAAGGTAGATGACAATGAGGTGAAAGGTTGATGTTTGGATGTACTAAAGACGTACTGCAGTCATCTTAACCATGTTAGTGGTTAAGATGAGTGCGTCTAAGAAAGGATTTATTTCCCATGATTCCATATTGATTAATGACTGAAACTGTGCACTTTTGAAAATTGACTCTGAACAGGGGTAAAGACATGCATTTCTGAAAGGCACTGCAACTTCAGGAAGGGAAGATATCCCTAGATGCACAGTTACAACTTTTTCTCTCTTCTGAAACAGTTTGTGCAAAAACTTTGTAATTTTAATACAACTTTAATCAATGTCAGGTCACCACTGCAGGGATTTCTTGTGTTAAAAATTAATTTAATTAGATATTTCTTCTCTGATACAAAGTTTCAAAGATGACTTTACCCTTAGTTCATCACATTAACTATTGTTTCATTAATAGAAAAACAACTAAATTTGATTCTGTGTTACCTTTTTCAGCTCAAAAATGCACAGTAATTGTAGAAATTTTTTATTGAAAATGGACTTCCCTGGTGGCTCAGTGGTAAAGAATCTGTCTGCCAATGTAAGAGATGCAAGTTCAATCCCTAGGTCAGGAAGATCCCCTGGAGGAGGGCATGGCAACCCACGTCAGTATTCTTGCCTGGAGAATCCCATTGACAGAGGAGCCTGGTGGTCTACAGTTCATGGGGCCACAAGAGTTGGACATGACTTAGCGACTAAGCAACCAACACCAATATTGAAAATAGAAATATACTCCCTAGAGCAAAAGAGTTAATGTATTCATTTGCTATTGATTCTTAAATTTTAAAAGTTTTAATAAATACATAAACACTTGCATATGTATTTCCTTTCTGAATTCTGATCCAATGTTTAAAAACAGTCAGGCTCCATGTGAGCTACCAATGACAGCATCTTGAATTATTTAGAAAGTTTTCATGAGAGAAAATCCAGTACTCTTGCGTGGAAAATTCCATGGACGGAGGAGCCTGGTGGGCTGCAGTCCATGGGGTCCCGAAGAGTCAGACATGACTGAGTGACTTCACTTTCACTTTTCACTTTCATGCATTGGAGAAGGAAATGGCAACCCACTCCAGTGTTCTTGCCTGGAGAATCCCAGGAATGGGAGCCTGGTGGGCTGCCGTCTATGGGGTCACAGAGCGTCAGACACGACTGACGTGACTTAGAAAAATTCATAAAGTGATTTAGCTATTGAATGCACAAGCCAATAAATATTTGAAAATTTGCTGCAATTCTTCTCAAATACTTGCCTTTCTCGAATATATTCTCCTTTAGTTCGTGAGATTTCCACCTCCAACCACTGGGAAGGGAAAGGATTAATGCATAAGCCAAGAAGATAAAGCAAAGTTCATGACTGAAAAATTTTTTTTCATTTAAATTATATAAAATTATTTTTTTCAAATAATTGCATGTTGACCCGTATACCTTCATTACATATTCCACAGATTTTTTTTGGGGGGGGGGCCTGATACTACTTTTTAAAAACTATTTTTGTTTGGAGGTTAATTGATTTACATGTTGTGTTGGTTTCTGCCCCACAACAATGTGAATCAGCCATGAGTATAGGTAGGTATCAGCCTAGAGAGGTGGGATGCGGTGGGGTGCAGGACGGAGGGAACGTTTTTATATACTTTTCCTGTGCTGGGTCTTCCTTGCAGGACAAGTCTCTACTATAGTTGTGGTCTTGGGCATAGTTGTCCAGCGGGCAGGTGGGATTTTAGTTCCCTGACCCGGGTCAAACCTGAGCCCCCTGCATGGGGAAGCATGCGGACCTAACCACTGGACCACCAGGGAATTCATTTCGCTTTTTTCTTATCTAAAAATAATAGAAAGTATTTTACATACCACCTGGATGATGTGATTTTTTAACAAATCAAGTTAAGTTGTAAGAAACAGATAAAAATCACAGACAGCTAGGAAAGGAGAAAGTGGGGATCAGGAGAGGAAGTCTTTGAATAAAAAATAAAAATAGGATCACAAAATTTTAAAAAATTAATTCACGCCAAAGTATCATCCATAATTTAAGCTACAATTAAGGATCACAGCACTCAGGTCCTGTCCTCCCCAGAGACGCCTTCACCAGAGCCCACCACCTTCCACTCCTCTCTAAGCCTAATTCTCCCAGATTCGGCCTGCTGGAACGCTGCTGCCCCGCGTGGCTCCATAGCAGCCTCCCAGACCCGCTCTGGGTCATGCTTAGTTCACGCAGAAAGACCGTACGTTCACCGCATTTCTGGTCCGCGGAGCCAGGGGCGAGGGGGCGGGAGGGGCGGGGCGGCAATCGTTGCAGCCTGTTTTACGACAACTTGCGGCCGCGCGGCGCGGCGCGGCTGACGGCAACGCCGCGCTGCTCTTGGAGAAGTCACTCCGGAGACGGCGTTGCTTTTCTGGTTTGAGGTCCGTGGCACTCTGTGGCGCGTCCGTGCGCGACGGGCTCAAATGCAGCCCCAAGGGCAAGATTCGGGGCTCGGTGGATGGCCTTGCGGGAGGAGCCGGGAGCTACGTGCGTGACGCCGCAGGCTGGCTCGACTCTGGCTCGTTGCAGCAGCCAGACCACAGGATATGGCAGAGTCCGGGCACTCTGCGGCTGGAACCCCATCTCTTGCGCCACACCGCGGAATCGCGTCTTGTTGCAGCCCTGGGGATCGCCTAGCCGCCTCTGCATAGCCTACCCCCGCATCAGAGGGTTCCATTGCCTTCACTTTTCCCTTCAATGCAGGCAGGCAACATAGCCTGCTGGGAAAAGAAGGGAGAAAAAAATCAATGAGGGTGAACTAATTGCAGAGGTTGAAACTGATAAAGCTACTGTTGGATTTGAGAGCGTGGAGGTGTGTTACATGGCAAAGATCCTTGTTGCTGAAGGTAACAGAGATGTTCCAGTTGGAGCAATCATCTGTATCACAGTTGAAAAGCCTGAAGATATTGAAATCTTTAAAGATTACACACTTGATTCTTTGGCAGCACCTGCCCCACAAGGAGCCCCGCACTAACCCCTGCCGCCGCTGCTCCGTCACCTGCACCCTCTGCTCAGGCTCTTGGTAGCTCATCTCCTACTCACATGCAGGTGGTTCTTCCTGCCCTCATCGTGACCATGGGCACATTCAGAGATGGGGGTGGGGGGGGGATGTGGGTGAGAAGCTAAACGAGGGGGATTTATTGGCAGAGATAGAGACTGACAAGGCCTCTATAGGTTTCGAAGTACAGGAAGAAGGGATCAAAATCCTGATCCCTGAAGGCACACGAGATGTCCCTATAGGAACCCCACTCTGTATCATTATAGAAAAAGAGGCAGATATACCACCGTTTGCTGACTATCGGCCAACTGAAGTAACTGATTTAAAACCGCCTAGCCCATCCACCTTCAGCGCCCCCGCCCCGCCCAGCTCCAGCTGGACCAAAGGGAAGAGTGCTCCTTAGCCTGCTTGCAAAGAAGTTGGCAGCAGAGAAAGGGGTTGACCTTACACAAGTAAAAGGGACCAGATGGCAGAATCATTAAGAAGGACAACTCCTTTGTGCCTATGAAAACTGCCCCCACTCCAGCAGCAGCTGTGCCTCCCCTGAGTGGAAGAGTGGCTCCAGTTCCTACAGGTGTCTTCACAGATATCCCAGTCACCAACATTCACCAAGTCATTGCACAGCAGTTAATGCAATCTAAGTAAACAGTACCTCATTATTATCTTTCTATTGATGTAAATATGGGAGAAGTTTGGTTGGTAGGAAAGAAGATGTTACAAGGAAAAAGCAAAATTTCCATCAATGACTTCATTATAAAGCTTCAGCTTTGGCATGTTTAAAAGTTCTGAAGGAAATTCTTCTTGGCTGGACACAGTTGTAAGACAAAATCATGTCGTTGATATCAGTGTTGCAGTCCTGCAGGACTCATCACACCTATTGTATTTAATGCACATATAAAAGGACTGGAAACCACTGCTAATGACGTTGTTTCTGTAGCAACCAAAGCACAAGAGGGTAAACTACACCCACGTAAGTTCCAGAGTGGCACTTTTACAACCTCAAATTTAGGAATGTTTGGGATTAAGAACTTCTCTGCTATTATTAACCCACCCAAGCATGTATTGTGGCAGTTGGTGCTTCAGAGGATCAACTGGTTCCAGCAGATAATGAAAAAGGATTTGATGTGGCTAGCCAGATGTCTGTTACACTTAGTTGTGACCATCGGGTTGTGGATGGAGCAGTTGGAGCCCAGTGGCTTGCTGAGTTTAGAAAGTACCTTGAGATACCTATCACCATGTTATTATAATTAATCCAAGAATTTCTAGACTCTCCTAGGTCACACTGTTTCATTCTTACCAAGGTAAAAATGTGTTATTAAATGGTGGCTCTCTTTATTTTAAGGTTAACCAGTTGTTTTTGAGTCTGTCCAGATATTTGTAATGGGCATTACTGAATTTTTAAAAATGCCAGTTACATCCCAATATTGTGCACATTCAATAAACACCGGATTTTAAGCTGTATACTCCTAGTCAAGGGGCCTGTGGCATAGCCCTTTGATGGTAAGTCCTTCCACTAGAAATGCAGAGGTAGAATTGTGGTTCCCTATTGAGACAGACACATAAAAGTAACCTTGATGAGACCTTGAGGTTTTGAATTTTAATTACCTCAAATGTTTTGATTAGATTTGAGAAGAAGAGAGGAAGTTTGGAAAACTAGTTCTCTTGGAGAAAGGATTTGAACTGAAACTTGATTTTGGAATTTAAGCCTAATTTGAAATTTTCTGTTACATAATCTGGTTTATCATGGATGGGAAACATGGAGAACTTAAAGGAAAATATGAGAAACTTTTGAAAGTCAACATTTTTATAGGACGGCTCAACCAGCTGTTCTTTGTTTATTTTTCCATGACTTCAGAAATGACCAGCTCCTTGGTATAAATGAGAATTTGTGTGGGTATCTATTTAAACAGTTTAAATGTGTCATTGTGAGAGCAGAATTCTATAATTGCCTCAAATAAAAGAGTATGCTTATAGAATTTAACAGAGAAGAAGAATCACAACTAATATGTTGACATTATGAGATGTACTTACATAAAAATGGACTAATTTCAGTTAGAAACAACACCAGTAGATAGAACCCAAAAATATTAAGTGTAAATGATAAAATAATATATTAGAAGAAAAGCCTTCAGCTATAACCTGCTGAGATGTGTGTCTTGCAAGCCTTCCATAACAGGATTAAGCCAGAGAAACTGAGCTCATGGAAACAGACATAGTATTAATAGATGGTGGTGAGGATACTTTACTTGAGAATGGGACATTAAACATCAGTATCCAACATATCTTTGGTACAATTCCCTAACAAATTGGATAATGCATTTAAAGTACATACTGATGTGTGGTACACGAAGAGCACTCAATAATTACCAGCGATTATTGTTAGGGAGATGAATGCAAGATGACCATTGAGGCTCTGTTGTTTCTTTTTGAGGCTTACTTATTAAAAGACTAACTCCAAGGCTTCCCTGGTGGCTCAGGGTAAAGAATCCACCTGCCAATTTAGGAGACACAGGTTCCATCCCTGGTCCAGGAAGATCCCGCATGCTGTGGGGCAGCTAAGCCTGTAGGCCACAACTACTAAGCACACACACCATGGACCCCGGGAGTTGCAACTTCTGAGCCCACGTGCCACAGGTACAGAACCTGCATGCCACAAGAGAAGCCACTGCAATGAGAAGCCCAGGCACTGCAACGAGAGAGTAGCCCCCATTTGCTGCAACTAGAGAAAAGCCCAGGCAGCAACAAAGACCCAGCACAGGCATAAATAAATAAATACACAAATAAACATATTTTTAAAAGTCTTAACTCCAATGATCCATGTGTGATTTTGACCCTGTTTAGTTCTGCCTCATCACAGAAATGTTAGTATTTAATGAAAACAACACAAAGAGTGAAATCTGTTCACTAAAACCTGTTTGTAAGGCCTTCCTTATAACCTGCAGAATGTCAGAACTTGCACATTTTTAACTCACTGGATTCCACTGCTTCACACAACTTAGATAGGTCCAACCACACTTGCTAGTAAAAACATGTCAAGGGCATGCTTGGGGTTCAGAAAATGGGGTGTCCCATCTGCCCACTAGAATGTACAGTTCACGGGATGGGAACCTGCCTGGCCCATCACACAATATTTCCTCAATAAATACTGGAGTGGCCTTTTCCATCACATTTCTTGTTTTTGAACTCCCACTTGTCTCACATTTAAAGCAGTCTTACTTGCCCTTTTCCCTGTTTTGCTTTTTTTATCACAACAAAACCCCTCTCTAAGTCTTCTATGCTTAAATTCTTCATCATATCCAGAACTACTCTTCCTATATAGAGCCTTAGTTGCCATATTCAGAGCTAACAGCTAAATAAAAATCAGGGAAAAAAGTATTTCTTCTCCCAATGCAAGGGGCCCCGGTTCAATCCCTGGTCAGGGTACTAGATCCCACATGTCACAAACAAGACCAGGTGCAGAAAAATAAATATTTAAAAAATAAATAAAAGCTTCTATTTCTTATGAGATTGTTTCAGAAACATTTCAGACCACTGATACTGTATTTTCATATGTTTGTAAAACAGGTTTTACAATAATGGATGCTATAGCTTCATAGAGCATGACGTTGAAAATAATCCTCACCAAAGACCCGATAGATCTTAAGTGATATGACATTGCTGAATTTACCACAGTCCAATACTGGTCTTCCATCTTGTTGTGTCTGTATTACAGTAGTAAAATGTACAAATAAAAGCATAAAGATACCACAGTAAAAATAAAATAAATAAGTACTGTGGTCAAGAAACCACGGTCAAAGTCCCTCCATAGTTTCTCTGGACCTAGAGCTCCTCCAGATTCCACCTGTGCCTCATTCCCACTCCACCTCCTCGGAATGCCTACACTTCCTCACTCCCCTGCCAGCTTTTCAGATGAATCCAGGAAACTTCCTGCATCCCCTCCTAACAGTCGTGAGCAACAGTACAAGTGAGGTGAGTGTGTGATGTGTTTATACTTTTAAAGATAAAATTACAAATGCCAATAAACTATCAAATAATATGTGAATCTTCAAGACAAGACTTTAAAATGTGTGAAATTATGAGTGCTATGTGACTGAAATTTGACAAAATATCCAAGACCACTGACTATCACTGCATAGCTTTCATGTTCTGTTGAAGGGAAGGGATATTTATATAAATAATTGAAAACAGTGATTTTGCTTAAATGAAGGTAATAAAACTTTACAAAATATGACTAAATTTTTTTCCTTCTAAACATTACTTTCCCTTCAATAGATCACCTAGATTTGTTCAATGAAAATTATATTACTTCAACTTTATCTTTAAAATTAAAAGATAAATTAGAATGAAAAATATAAAGAAATCAGAGTGACTTAAATTAAGCTGAATGTAAATGCTTTTGAAGATGTAATTAAATCTTATTTATTCTTATAAAGATAAGGCTAATGCTTCTGTAGTCTAATACCATTTACCTGCCAAAATAAATTAAAGATGTAACACTCTACTCATATTTCATCTAAAGCTACCAATCTGAGAACAGTGCTAATTGTTTAACATGGCAAAATGTTTGTAAAGTATTGTGGTCCTTTAAGACTGTATGAATTCTATGATAATTTGGGAGAAATTGATACTTTTATTCTTCTCGCACGTTTCCATTTTGTTGGCATTTTCCATTACTTCTTTCAGAATGACTCGATTGTTTTATTTATATAGATCCTGTGCCTTTCTTGTGGACATTGTTTATAAGCATTTTATTATTGCTCTATATATCGTGGAAAGATTGTTTCCCAATTCTATTTCTAGGCATGCCTTGCTATCCTATAGATATACTATTGATTTTTGTGTTTTTAGCTTTTGTCAACTTTAGGCTTTAGCAAAACAGTGTCAAAAAACCTCACTGAGCAGGCAAGGCTTACTTTGCCGGATTTGCTGAAATAAGAAAGGAAAACACCCTGGCAGAATCTTAACAGCCTAAGACAGAAAGAGTGGAGTGGTGGGTTTGTAGGGTCTGACTAGGTGACAGATTCTCAGATGAGTATTGTGAGATCGGGAGCTCTTTGGGACCTGGCAGTGTGTAAGACACAATAGCTTTATACTCATGTGCATACGAGACCAAGTTCTGAGCCGAGTTTGCTCAATAGTCTTGATAATTCAGGTGTTTTTGATAAATTTATCAAGTTTTGATAAACTTGATAAATCAGGTGATTTATAGTTGATATTCAAGGATAAGTATTTCCCAGAGCCAGACTTACCCTGTCTTTCATTTTTCTCAGCCTTCACATAGTGACAGGAATGTACCTTGGGGATGAATAGTTTCTAATCGCGGGGAAAACCAAAACCACATGGGTTTAAACTCTCAGCCCCTCTCCCTTGACATCCATGTCAGCCGGGGTGGAGATTATAACCCCATTGTCTGCAAACAGAAGCAATTTCCATCTTCACTGCTTTTTGGTGAGTTGTAGGTATATGATAAGGCTCTGCTAGCAGTTTTCCAGAATCTATTACTGTCAGATTTGCTATTTCTTTTTGCTCAAAGATCACTCGTTGAATCACTTGAAGGGACAAAGCCCATTTCTCAGTATTTCAGATTTTGGTGATGACACTTCTGAGCAAAGTGACATGGAATAATATGAAGAAAGACAGGTTTCCGGGGTTTGTGGTCCTGTACTCAGAAGAAGCTAAGGGTGCCCAAGCTCTATTTATGTGAAACGTGGGCTACAAAGTTTCTAAGTGTTGTTATTGTTCAGGCAGACATCTTCATGTCTAGGTTTGATGGGAGTTTGATTTTTCTGGCCACTTGACCCAGTGTTTTGTCATTTCCAAAGCCTTTATTGCTTGATTCCAATTACACAGAATATCACCTTTCTTATTGCAGTGAACTAGCATCAGAGGAAGCTGGTTGTTATTCAAAGGAGCACAAGTAAAAACAATAGTTACACTGAACTTGCTTCTTAATCAAAAGACACACAAAAGGGTGACTCAAAGCATCAAAAGAAAAATTAAAGATGGGAAAGAAACACATTGTAGATAAGAGGTTTGCGTATCTGTTACTAGTCTAGATTCTTAAGTAAATGAAGAAGAAAGCGAGGACACAAGGAGAGAACACAGGAGAGCAGACTGAAAAAGGACCACCCGCCTCTGATGCTGGGAGCTTGTGTCCTGGGTCTTCTGGAGAAGCTGTCTCCTGCATGAGTCGTCATCTTGGGCAGTGTGCTGGGATTAGGCTTACAGCCCCTGAACAACTGACTAT